TGTACAATATATCAATAAAAGTATTGGCTTCTCATGGTGAAATTAATTGACATTTTTCTATTATGTTATTAATTTAATAATTTTATCAGAGTTTATTTTTTACAAAATGTCGGGTTTGATATATTATAGTTAGGTTTGTGCTAGTAATTGTTTTAATCACATGTGCATTATAATTTTTTAAATATAAAATAAAATAATTATTAAACCTAAACAAAATTTGTAATAATAAATATAATTCAATACGTAGTATATGTAGATTGGTACTCCATAAAAACGACATACATTGTTTTTGCACTGTAAGGTTCAATTTGTAACATTTGGTTCAATTTGTTGGAATGAATTAAACATAAACCTTGATAAGATAAATAGAAATAATTACATTCTTGATGGGCAACACGGTTACACTTTTCAATCGAAACACAAATATGTGTACTAAGCATAGAAAATCAATATAAATAACCCACACTTATATAACACACATCATTCAAGTTAAATAATTGCATCGAAACAGTTGACAGTATAATTACATACTAAACACTCTAGTTTTAAAAATGGCCTACGTTCAAAAATTAATTGTGCTAGCAACAGCAGTATGCTCGGCTTATGCGGCGTCGACAAATGGGATTGTCAGCCTGGCCACCAACACTAAATCTAACGGGAACAATTTGAAAGACTACAATACTTGTATACTTACTGTAGTTTTGAGTGGTAAGTGCGGTGATATCCCGATGCCTACTGATCCCAGTGATCGGAATATGTGCAATGCTGTCTACCAATTAACAGATTGCATCAAGAGCAATGACGTAAGTTATCGATTTAAAACATGTATTTTTATGTTTAATTATAGCATCATTCACAAGTGGCCTAGATTAAATAGTTGAGGGAGTGGGCTTGCGCCAAAAATCGAACAAAATTTTAATTTTAGAACAGGGTATTATTACTGTGTATATGTCGGCAGTGTACAGTATCTACAATGAATGGCTATACAGAGAGCAAAGGCAGGGATTGATAACGAAGCACTATTTCTTATATGGATTAAAAAGATAAGCATCGGAACTCAAAAATACAGTCCTGTGCTAAAGTTTGAACCCTAAAATTATTAACTTTATTATTTTTAAAATAAGCTTACAAATATTGCAATTTGGGCGCAATTAACATAAGGAATGACATTTGATTTAAAATTAATTTATTAATTGCGCCCAAATTGCAATATTTGTAAGCTTATTTTAAAAATAATATAGTTAATAATTTTAGGGTCAATCCCTGCCTTTGCTCTCTGTATAGCCATTCATTGTAGATACTGTACAGTGATCACTGATCAGGGTCAAATTCTTGAAAACTTGTGGTTTAACTCAAAAAATACTTGAAAATATTTGACCTTAAATTTAATATAATAATTCGCCAGGTAACCTTGGTATTTTTAAGGAGCCATGAACTCATCTACTAACGAATTAAATTTAAGTTCTAATTGAAATTATATGAATTATTTGCGTTCGCGGTAGATTATCATAATAATAATAATTTCAAATATTGCCACCTTCCTTGGTCATTGACAAAATAATTATAAATGTTAGTGTATAGATACTAACAGTCAATTTAGGCGTTTCTAGAAAAATCTAAACCAGGACAAAACACTTACTAGTCATAGAAACAAATACTAATAATTAGGTTTTTCAGACAAAGAAAATGTGTCTAAACTTGAAATAATGATTAAATCTAGAAATGATTAATGAATAATCGACTAATAAATTAGGTATTTTCCAGATTTATCACATATATCTACATAATGATATATCTAGAATTTTTTAAAAATCCACCTAGCACTTATTACAAACTACTGTATATCATTAAACAGTGATCTTTTTAAGCAAGGTCCATAGAGCTGTCTCATAAAATAACAGAAATGCAAAATTTTAGGCACCAATGTAAAGTTAATATAAAATAAATGTTTCTTATTAATATGATTCAACAATTCACTAAATAGGGTGTCTGTACCGCATCGGAGAGGGATGATGTGGATAAGAATTTCGACAGCATTGAGGTGGTGTGCAAACAGGTTAACAATACATGTTTTGTACAGCCGTATACACGGCGTTGGTGCAAGGACAATGGCTATAACTCTACAACGTTCAAGTTGATTGTCAAGACAAAAGACATTGAACTACCAATTGTATTAACGTACGATCACAAGTTTCAATTTGTTAATGAATTAAAGGACTTTTTAAAAGCGACTGCCGGTTTTTCCGATGACCATGATGATATATATTATAAAAAAACCGACTCGCTCGAGGGTGCACCGGGTACAATAAGTCAACCGATACAGTCTCTAGTACCAGTCGATGACAAAAATTTTCATTTGTGTGAAAATCATATCATCGAGATCCATGCCAAACCGAGTCAATCAAAAAAGTATTAATGTAAAATGTCCTAGTATGTTTTATAATTTTATTAACTCGTTTAATAGTTCGGAGTCAGAGGTGGATCAAAAGTGCACTGGTAACCAAATGGACAGTGCATTCAAGCTGTAATGTCAAAACAAATGCATCAATGAGCCTTGATAAAATTTTACTATTTTTATAAAATTGACATTACATATTTAATAAAGTTTATCTATTCAATTAATCAATGTGTTGGACATGATTATTCAAGGGCCATGGCTATAACTCGAGAGCCATGCTTAATGTTAACTCGCTAATCGTGCTCGGTGGCATTACATTGATTGTTTTATATATTATTTATATAAACATTAAATCTTGTTCACTTATTTTCATATTTAAACATTTATTAATGTATACTTATTAATGTCTCAATTTATAAAATAATTAACATTAATGATAAGTAAAATAAATGCTAATTGATTTTAGGTACATGGTACACATATTAATTTAATACATTATTATATTAAACAAAAATTATAATTTAATAACATAAATTGTTTAATTAGTTTTCCATTAACAAATAATACAAAAAATTGATATATTAAAATTATTTATATAATATATAATTATAAATACGCGTGTGAGTTAACTATAATAAAAATTGTATTTATTATTTAAGTAAGATTATTTTTCAAATCAATTTGATTGACAAGGTGATAATGGTAATAGAAGTAATTTTTACTTTACAAACCAATTTTAAAATTTTATTAAATACATGATTAATTTAAGGTTATAGTATATATAAATAATTATAAAACGCAATTTCAAATAAATTGATATAAAATAATCTTTGTTTTGTACTGAATCCATTAAATATGTTAATTATTAAAATACATACAATTTTGATGATTTTTATTAAAAATTACAGCTTTTCTAACAATTATGCAAGTTCATATAAGACTTATATGAACCATGTCCTATTATCAGAGTTATATATTTATAGGAATAAAATATGATTTCATTTGAATTAACATAAATTAAAATTGATACAGGGGTATTCTTGCCATTAAAAATGTTTTTATTTTAAAATTATAATTTTGATTATATTGATGTATAATTATTAGGGTTGTTAAATTGTAATAATTTATATTTTTCCCAAAATAAATTATATAAATTATATTAATTTCATATAATTTATGAAATAGATATTTGATAATTGAAAATATACCAAATTTAGAATGCATATAATTTATTTAATTTTAAGTAGATTTAATTAATTATAACCGATAATTTAATTATTCAAACATTATTATCTTAATTTCAACTAATTTGTAAACTATACATGTTATTTATACAAATATTTTAAATATGTAGCTTGATAATGTTATTTTTCAAAATATAATTTATATAATTTATTTTTTTCGATATTATTTATGTATAAATTATATCATTTATATAATATAATATATAAATTTACATAATATAATTTGTATAATTTATACTGCTTTCAACCCTAATAATTATATATAATTTTTGAAATATTATTTTTAAAACTATTTCCTTAAATAATAAAAAAAGATTTATTAAATTTAACCTGAAGTTTCTATTGGCAATGTTCACAATAGTTGATTATTTTATTTTTACGAATATTTGAATAATTTATTTTTAAAAATTTTACTTTATACTTGGTTAAAAATTAAAATATAAATGTGCAACATCAATCGGTCCATGGAGACAATTTTGGAACTTGACAAATCTTTTAAACATAATTAGATTATGATTACAGTATTATATAGAATATTGTGACTGGTGAATAATGAGTGTTGAGGGTAAAAATATTAAAGCCCAAGGTTACAAAAATACCCTTTTATGTAACATTCACAACAAAATAACTTATAAAACTGCCTTATCAGTTTGTTGTATATTTACTGCTGTATAATGTACATTTACACAAAAAATTCAAGAATTATGAGTTCTAGTGTATATGTACCTGAATATAATTTTGTACCTGAATGTATTTGAATATAATTTTAAAATTTCTGTAATTGCGAGAAAAATTTGATAGAAAATATTTATTTGTCTTCATTCTCCTTCATATATGGTCGCGATTATACATCTAAAGCACTATCTTTTAATTCTTACCTTGAGGCCACGCTTATTGCTCACATAAAAAGCCATAAACACATTTTGCTACCAATATATTTACAGTACAAATGCCAGATGTTCACATAAATTTAAAAATATTTAAATTTAGAACCATTTATAGACATTTTCTCATATTAAGATACAATAAAATACATTATAGAGTAATATAAAACTCATTTATTTATATAACTTTGCCGTTTAAAATGCCAAAATTTAAATCATTGTCAAAATGTTTATATTATATATAACAAAAACAATTTATTTTAATATAAATGCATAAAATTGACATCAATATTTATTTTATTGCACAAAAATCTAATTTTCTATATTTCAAAGCTACAATAAAACAATTTGTCACTACATTAAGTAAACTATTTTCCAAAAAACCACTACATTTTGAACATTAGTCTATAACATCCTAGTTAAATTTCACCCATAAATTCATCAATAGTGTCAGTTTAAACCCCAATATATGGGTAAAAAGGGGCATGTGGTTTTGTCTAATAGCATATATAATGCTGGTGGTTGCCGGTATAACTTTAAACAAGTGTTTAGTAAAACTACATAATACACAGTTTTGGTGTTCAAACCCTCACTCACTAAATAAGATCTCGAGTGAGTACTTCATTAAGTGTTTTCGTTTGTATTTTTACATACTATTAGAGTTCATAATATTGTGCTACAGTTTGTAATACAATTTAATTTAAATATAAATCTACATATAAATTGTAATTTACAACAAATTTATAAAATCTAATGATTTAAAATTATTGTTAAAAATGTGCAAATATGGGCACGAATAGTGACCAAAGTTTTAAGACCTCAACATCATCACAAAGTTATGTGAACATAAATAACAGTTTAAGTGACTATTTTTATGCTTCACTAATTGGCCCTGAAAATACATAGTTGGACGTTTTGCATCAAATAACACACTTGTATAAACTTTTATATTGTCAAAATAAAAATTTGCATCTACATCTAAAGCGCCAAAAGTGTGAAATCGACATTAATTTACAGTTTATAAGTGATAACTCTTTACGAAAAAATTAATCAAGATCTATTAAGAATTGGACCACTTATAGACTATTTTTCACGGTTGGACAATATATTTAATAAAAAATTAATAAAATCGTACATTTTTGATGTCTTGTGAGTTCATAATTCAAAACATTTATCTTATTGAATGCCAAACTCTAATAATTTTTGACTTAATAGTAAATTCTATTGATGCTAACAAATGCACATATATTAGTAAACATTTAGAATATTTTACTGAACATATTTCTATTTTATATAATTCAACAAGTGAATTTGAAGTAAAATACGATTTTTTACAGATTAAAAATAGACTTGAAATGTTAATATATGAGGTAGACGCATTATTAGTATAATTATAATTATTACGTTGATCCCTATTTGTCTATAATTGTTATTGTTTTTATAATTTTACGAATTTATTTGGAGTAAAATTACTCATAATAGGCTTTAAAGCAGGGATTAATTCAGGTTTAAATTCTGGATTATTATACTCGTAAGGACAATATTTAAGTAATAATTTCATTAAATAAGCTGCCACAGTGACTGCAGGTGTAGGGTTTTTATAAACATCTTTACCTATGTAATGTCTTATTAGATCACGATAACGTATTGGTTTGTAAATTTCATGTGTATTGGACATTGGTTTACAATAGTGATCTTGCAAGTTATAGCGCATGAGATTTTTATAATAATATTTTAAACTTAATAATTGTGTACGGGGATCCATACAAACTACCATGTCAGATTTTACAATTTCTAATAATTGTTGAGTAACTAAAGGTAATGGGAACCGTTTTTCAAAACTCTTTTTGGATAACCCCGTTTTTATCGATAATGTAGTCAACATATTTTAATTCGTGGTAAATTTTTGTATTTAACCTTGCATTCATGTGCCAGTCTACTAAGGCTACGTCGGCAGCAATAGGGTAATTATTGTCGGTACGTTTAATTTTATAAATAAATAGCACGTGAATACTACAAGTTTTACAAATATTCTACCATACAATAACTTGATAATTTTGTTGTGTATATACCTAAAATATTTTTTATTCTATGAAAATTATAAAACTAAGATGTCATTATTCTATTCTACAATATTTAACCATTAAGGGTACTATATCCTTATGCAAACCATTAAGCAACGATCCCCGACAACGTCGTTATGAGCAATTTGATGCGATTTCTAGCGTAGTGGTGTAAACTGAAGCATATTTATGAGTATCTCAACGATAACAGGGAAGTCTCGGTGTATCTTGAGAGCCAGGAGCTAGACATTGAGGCGTGTCGCGAATTTAATAAAACGGATGCAATGAATCCCGTGTAGGATTGCAGAACACGAGTGTCTCATCAGTTGCCACATCTGTCGCGTCGAGTGATGATTAAGAAGTTGACATTGAATAACATTTGTAGCATACCATGTGCACACATGTTCGGCCATGACAAAAATGCCATACAATCAAATGTAAATAACATTCATAGAATAAATATAACAATTTAAAATAAATAGCGGACGCCACTTGTAGTTATACCTCTTACTAATTTAATCTGATACAACTATCTCTCAGGCAATGCGCAACAATCTCTCGCCCTCAAACATCGGCCCATACCGCGTCATCGAAGCCGTAAATCTAGAGACCTATCGTCTTGGCCCAGCCGAGGGTGGCACATCGCGGGACACCATCGCTCACTCGTCACAGCTCCGGAGGTTTTATCCCGGAAGCGTAACCTTAGAGTCCGGGGAGTGAAGTGAAGCAAACAGTTCCGGACCTATTCCTGCAACTGTTGACAACACAGCTCTCACCGTCTTACGCACACCCACGCCCAACACTACTCTTCCACTCACACACACCAAATATGGCGCCCAGATGCCGACAACCCCTCAAAATACAGCCCAATATAGCTACACACACAGCACACACAACACACACTTCGCACACAACACACAAACCGTTAACTTGTACTCA